ACGCAGCCAGCTCAAACTGACTGTAACTCCCATACCACAATATTCACCCTTTTAAAGTGCGCAGTTCGGTGGTATTTAGTATCATCATGGAGCTGCGAAGCCATCATTCCCTTCCTCCTCCATCCAGCCCCAGACACCCACCCCTCTGCTTTCTGTCTCTGTGGATTTGCCTGCTCTGGACATCTCACTTAAATGGAATCATCCAACATAGGGTGTCTGTGTCTGGCTTCTTTCACTCAGCATCGTGTTTTCAAGGTGCATTCATGTTGTAGCATGATTTAGCCCTTCATTCCTTTTCATGGCTGCCTACTATTCCATTGTGTGAATAGGCCGCATATTATATATTCACTCATCAGTTTGTGGATGTTTAAGTTGTCTCTACTTTGGGGCTATTATGAATAATACTACCATGGACTTTGTGTACAAGTTTTGTTTTTGTTTTTGTTTTTTTGAGACAGAATCTCAGGCTGTCACCCAGACTGCAGTGCAGTGGCACAGTCTTGGCTCGCTGCAACCTCCACCTCCTGAGTTCAAGTGATTCTCCTGCCTCAGCCTCCTGAGTAGCTGGGATTACAGGCGCCCACCACCATGCCTGGCTAATTTTTGTATTTTTAGTAGAGACGGGGTTTTACCATGTTGGCCAGGCTGCTTTTAAACTCCTGACCCCAGGTGATCCACCCGCCTCAGCCTCCCAAAGTGCTGGGATTACAGGCATGAGCCACCAGAACCGGCCTGCGTACAAGTTTTTGTGTGGACATATGTTTTCATTTGTCTGAGCTATACACCTAGGGGTGGAACAGCTGGGTTGCATGTTAACTCTGTTTAACCTTTTGAGGACCTGCCAAACTGTTTCCACTGCCACTGCCCCATTTTACATCTGCACCAGCAGTGATTCTCCACAATCTCACCGACACTTGGCTATTGTCTGTCTTTATGATTCTAGCCATCCTAGTGGATGTCAAATTGTGTCTTACTGTGGTTTTGATTATCCTTTATTTTTGTTTTTTAACTTTTCATTATGGAGAATTTCAGACATTTACAAAGTCAATAGAATAATATAGGGAACCCCTGGGAAACCATGACTCAGCTGCACGCAATGGTCAATATTCTGCCACCTTTTTTTTTTTTTTTTTTTTGAGATGGAGTCTCGCTCTATCACCTATCACGCAGGCTGCAGTGCAGTGGTGCGATCTCGGCTCACTGCACCCTCCACCTCTCAGGTTCAAGCGATTCTCCTGCCTCAGCCTCCCAAGTAGCTGGGATTACAGGCATGTGTCACCACGCCTGGCTAATTTGTGTATTTTTAGTAGAGACAAGGTTTCACCACATTGGTCAGGCTGGTCTCGAACTCCTGGCCTTAGGTGATCCACCCGCCTTGCCCTCCCAAAGTGCTGGGATTGCAGGCGTGAGCCATCGTGCCCAGCCAATATTCTGCCATTCTTGTTTCCTCTCTCTTTCTATCCCCTCTCCACCTCAAATCACGTATCATTTGTTACTATTTTTCTTTTACAGCTTTACAGGTAAAATGTACATACACTGAAATGCACAAATCTTAGGTGCAGAATTTAATAAGCGGATGCACCCATGTCAGCCTCTCCCCTGTGAGTACAGAATATTTCCGTGACCCTAGAAAGCTCCCTTGTGGCCCTTCACAGGCCATCCTTACACTACCCAGAGGCAGCCTCTGTTCTGATCACTTTGTGTACCCTAGATGAGGCTGTCTGATCTCGAGCTTCCTGCAAATGGAAACACACACCCAGCTTGCTTTGCTCCACACCAGGCCCGTGGGATTCATCCGTATTGTTTCATCATTCACGCCCTGGGCCTTCTCCGGGCCGACACTTGTTCTTCCTCATTACAGGAAGGAGCCAGAACACACCTCGCTGTGCCTGTGACAAGGGCCAGGAATAGAGTGACCAACCATCCCGGTGTGCCCAGGGACCAGGGGGTTCCTAGGACCTGGAACTTTCTGGGTTTAAGCACAGAACTTCCACAAAGGGAGAAAGGATAACTTTTTTCTTTCCTTCTTTCCCCCTTTTCTCTTTTCTTCGAATATTTGCTAAGCTGGGAATTATTTCCTCTGCCCAGGCTCCATAAACACCCCCTGCCCAATGCCGGCATTTCTGAGGGACCAGTGCTGGGAGGCTGGATTTAGGATGCAGAGCAGAGCCTGATGCAGGTGCAGTGACGCGGCAGAGCAGAGCCCTTGCTGCAGTCCAGAGAGGTGGCCAGAGGGCCAGGCCGTGGGAGGGGAGCAGTCAGTGTGCATGGCTTGAATGTCCAAACGCCAGCCCCACAGGCAGGAGGACCCGGCAGAGCCTTCTCGGCCTCTCAGGAGTCACCTTCCTGAGCTATTGGGTCATCAGTGTGGAAGTTATTCCCAGGCTGTGAGTATTTTAAGCCTAGGGAGAAACTCCCAGGATGTCTGCAAAGAAAGAGGCCTTGTAGACAGAACCTAGCTCGGAGCCTGAAAACCTTCCAGGTGCCTCAGAGTGAATGGGGGCAGTTGCCAAATGTAGATTTCTGGGCGCCACCCTAAGGTCTGGATTTTGTGATGAGGGCCCAAGAATCTGCATTTACAACAAGCACCCTGGGGACTTCTGGTGCCGGGGTTTCCAAATCAGCTTTGAGAAATGCCAATTCTGTTCCAAACTCTGTATTAGAAACTGAAGCACAGAGAGGGCCAGTGGCCACTGCAAAGTCACACAGCAAGTTTGTAGCAGGGCTGGGGAATGGGAACCCAAATCTTCCGAGCCCTTCAGGATCCTGAAGCAAACCCTGGGTAGTCGTGGCGAAGACCTCTCAGTGGGCTGGAGAATCCCCTCACCTTCCTGTAATATCTAGCCATAGGAAGAAGGCATTGCTACCCTTACACTGACCAGGCAGACTGTGGTCCATGACCAATGTATGATTGTGTTAAAATGGCTACAGTGCATCCTGTGCCTGCGAGGTGCACGGTCCTGTTCATGGCTTTATATGCGTAATTTCTATTCATCACGACAGCTCTTCAGAGCTTAGACAACTGAAAGTCCAGAAGGGACAAGTGATTTGCCCAAGTAAGTGAAAGAGGTGGGATTTGAAACTGTGCTAGGCTCTGGGAGTATTGTAACTAGACAAGCAGACATGCTTTCTGGAGGGCTTGAAAGCTGGCAGGGCACAGAAAGTTCCTGATTCTCCAATCTTGCTAAAAAACTTGCTGTGTGGCTTCGCAGTGACCCCTGCCCCTCTCTGAGCTTCAGTTTCCAAAGAAGAGGCTGAAACACTCTGGATTCCACCCCTTGGCAGTGCTGCCTCTGACTCCCAACCCTGCAATAGTCCACACAGAAGTCCAGCCAGAAAGGTACCCTGCCCTGGACAGGCAAATAGAGACTGGCATGGTTCAGCCTGTTTCTCTTCCTCCAGCAGCCAGGCATAAAGAACATTTCCGCTTATGATTTCTGTGGGCACTGGAAATAATTTCTTTTTCCACTTCAGAGCACTTTAATCCAAAGAAAACTGTGGTTGTCAACATCTTGCCTTTAACACAGACAAGTTGCTTTGGCCATTCATCCATTCATCCATCAAGTATATGTATCGTGTGTGTGTGTGTGTGTGTGTGTGTGTGTGTGTGTGTGTGTGTAAAATATTTATAGCTACGTTTTCTACCCTGGCTCCATATTTGAATTATCCACGGGGGTTCTGGAAAATTCTACTGCTCAGCTCAAACCTAGATTAATTAAATTAGAATCTTGGGAGGACCTGGCCCAGGCAACAGAATGTTTCAAGGAACCCCCAGGTGATTCTAACCTGCAGCCAAGGTTGAGAACCACACATTAGAACAGTGCCTGTCAAACTTCAATTTGCATGAGTCACCTGGAGATCTTGTTAACTGCAGAATATGATTCCGTGGGATGGGGTGGGGCCTGAGATGCTCTGTTTCTAACAAGCTCCTCAGGGAGGCTGATGGTTTTGGCTCAAGGTCCACACTCTGAGTGGCAGAAGGGCTGGTGGAACTACCCTGAACTATTCGGGAGGAAGAACAAAATACAGAAACCAGAATGGCGCCCACGTGGCTGGAACTGCCCAGCTGGAATCCCGCGTGTCAAGGGCAGCAATTACACATCCCAAGGGCTGTCCTGGGGATTTGGGAGCCCTCTCTGCCCCACCAGCCTTCAAGCCATCAGAAACGATATCTGTTTGTCTAGTCACAGTATGCCCAGGGGTTAGCACCATGCCTGGCACAAAGTGGGCCCTCCATACATTTCTGTTGGCTAAATGAATGAGGGGTGGTAAACAACAAAGTTACAAAATAGCCAACAGCAGCTAAGAACCCTGGTACCACCTCTTAGGTATGTGAGCTCAGGCGAGTCACTTCACTGCTGTGACCAACTTCCTGGGCCGTCAAATGGGGTCATGCTGCCTGCTCACGACAGTGCTATGTGGCTCGAGTAACAGCAGCAGAGCATTGCATGGTCCCCCGAGGTACTTATGTCATTAAGGTAGAGGCTGGCAGCTATAACAAAGAGACCGCAAACTAGAATAGTTTTAAACCAAATTTGTCTCTTGTGCAATAGTCCCAAGGTGAGGGATGTGGGTGAGTATAGACAACTCTTATTCCAGATTCTCCCACCTTGATGTTCCCTCCTGGCCTGCAGCACTGGTCCAGTCCTCTCTTCTTAGCTGGGTTGCAGGCCCATCTGTGCTGTCCCGGCTCACACGAAGGATGAAAAGAGTGTGCACGAGTTAGATCCAGAAGTGGTTTGCATCACTTCTGTTTCCAGTCCAGAGGTGAGGACTTAGTCATTTGGCCACACCTAGTGGCAAGGGAAGCCAGAAAGAACGGTCTCTGACCTAGCCGATCTGCTGTATACCCAGCCACAACTGGAAAACTGTGTAAAAGGAGGTTCTGGTGGACAACTAAGTTTACAGCACAAAGCTCACGGGCATGAAGTCGTCCCCCAATTTCCAGCGCTGTTGCGGGTCCACTCTCTACCCCGCGTTGTTGCCTCTTCTCCCCGCAGGGCGAATGCTCTCGGAAGTGCTACTATATTTTCATCGTGGAGACCGTCTGCGTGGCCTGGTTCTCTCTGGAGTTCTGCCTGCGGTTTGTCCAGGCCCAAGACAAGTGTCAGTTCTTCCAGGGGCCCCTGAACATCATCGACATCCTGGCCATCTCCCCATACTACGTGTCACTGGCGGTGTCTGAGGAGTCCCCGGAGGATGGCGAGAGGCCGAGTGGGAGCTCCTACCTGGAGAAGGTGGGGCTGGTCCTGCGTGTGCTGCGGGCACTGCGCATCCTCTACGTGATGCGCCTGGCCCGCCACTCGCTGGGGCTGCAGACGCTGGGGCTCACTGTGCGCCGCTGCACACGTGAGTTCGGCCTGCTCCTTCTCTTCCTGGCCGTGGCCGTCACCCTATTCTCCCCTTTGGTCTACGTGGCCGAGAAGGAGTCAGGGCGGGTGCTGGAGTTCACCAGCATCCCTGCCTCCTATTGGTGGGCCATCATCTCCATGACAACGGTGGGCTACGGGGACATGGTGCCCCGCAGTGTGCCAGGCCAGATGGTGGCCCTCAGCAGCATCCTGAGCGGGATCCTCATCATGGCCTTCCCGGCCACGTCTATCTTCCACACCTTCTCCCACTCCTACCTGGAGCTCAAGAAGGAGCAGGAGCAGCTTCAGGCCCGTCTCCGCCACCTCCAAAGCACTGGTCCGGCCAGTGAATGTGAACTCCTGGACCCCCACATGGCCAGTGAACATGAGCTCATGAACGATGTCAATGACCTCATCCTGGAGGGCCCAGCCTTGCCTATCATGCACATGTAACTCAGCACTCCCTGTGACTACATAGTAACCTCAACCCATCGCCCTGCCTGAAACACACTCAAGGGTACTCCACATAGACCACCTATTGATGTTCTAGAGCCCAGGGAGGACTCCCAAAGCTGGAGGGGCATAAGACCACAGAGCCTGTGTGTCTGTGATCCTTGTCCCTGGGGGCCCGATGTCCCAGGCTGACTGTGTCCAGCCTGCTTGCCTTTTCCTCTCTCTGCCCATCTACTGAGCACGTCCAATCTTGCTGGAGTAGCTCAGTCTTCTTTCATTCTCTTTTCCTTCCCAGCAGAGGCTTTAACATCCCAGGCTGGGTTCTGGATGCCCACAGAACTAGTAACCATTGGTATTTGCATACTGAGCCTACAGAATTTCATGATTTCCCTAACACCATTTTTCCTGGGCCATGCCACCATTGGAAGTCAAAGGTCCAGTCACTGCAAACCCCACTGATCAAACTCTACCACCCAACCTTTCCACGGGTTCCAGAGGGATCAGTATGTTCTCCTTCCGCTTACCACCACCAGTGGTATTTCCCTAATGCTGCTGCCTCCTGCCAGCTCTGAACACTTGTAGCTAAGAATGAAGAATCAGCCTTTTTGCAGTAAATCCCATGTTGAGGCTGATGCCCACAAGCCTGCCATCCCCCACCTGGAGCTCAAGAAGGAGCAGGCATCCCCAGGCATGCCTGGAATCTGGGACCTGGGACCTGGGACCTGAGACCTGGGCAGAAACTCCACTTGTCAGCACAGCCAGGCCCTCCTTGGCCGCCTGGACTCTTGGTGTGGTGTTCTCCAGTTATCCAGTCCTTAGCCTTACAGAGACAAACTCTTTCAGGGTCCACGTTGTCCCTTGAGAAGATCGTTCCTGCTGCTGCTTCCTCCCACACTGCAGGGGACCTTGGCTTTTCATCCACAGCTGAGCCCCCATGGACTCAGTGTAGCTTCGGCACAGAAACAAGGGGAATCGTAGGTGCTGCCCCTTGCTGGCTTCCCAGACTAGTCTTCTCCATGCTGGAGATAGACATTCTTAGCTCACATTTCAATGTATTTATTTATTTGTCCATTCATCTGTGAATAGAGTCTGTCCTTTGCATCCAGGGGAGGAGGCAGATGGAAGTCTGAGTCACTGGAGATAAAGCAGCATATTCTGAGAGCAGGCAGGAAGGAGCAATGAATTCCAAGCAGTGAGCTCCCAAAGACTTCACAGAGACATGGGCAGGGCTGGAGAGTAGAGGGGTATTTTGGGAGATGAAGCTGAACAGGTGGGTTGGGATGAGAAGGCGTGGGCCTTGCATGCTCTACGGAGGGCAGAGTGATGTGTACAGGCTGTGGGTTAGGGAGATGACGAGGCTGGATTGGGCGTCAGAAGCCCAGTTTGGGATGAGGAGCCATTGAGCCATTCAGGCAAGACAGCGCTGCCTCCTTCCTAGGATTAATCGTACAATGTTCTGTCAAATCCTGGCTTCTCCCAGAAGAGCACGCCTGGGAGACATCCTGAGGGCACTTCCCCAGAGTGGCTTGGCCCGCACAGGAGTTTGCGGTTGGCTCTAAGACCCCTGGAGAAAGTGCACGAGATCCAAACGGATGACAGAGAAGTGGTTTAGGCCCTGCCAATCTGATGTAGTGTACGTGTGAGAGTAGTCAGCATTTTACCACTGCTAACAAGTCCCTTGCTGTTCATTCATTGTTAGTTTTTCACAATGTCCTGCTATGTGCCAGGCACAGTCCTCCACTGATGGCAATGCCAGGCAGCAGCATGGCAGAGGGCTCTGGCCCAGGAAGCGCCCTGCACCAGCATCTAGTGTCCAGGGAGCCTTGGCCTCCTGGGGAGCCCACCTTTCCTTGGAGTCCTCCGGGTGTCCCCCCAGCTGATGCAGGCACATGTCCCCATTCTTTTAGACCCCAATCTTTCCCAAGCTGACATGTCACCAGGTGACAGAGTAGTCCAGTGGCCATGACACAAGGAAAGCCCCTGCACCCTATAAAATCCCCAGCCTGGACGGCCACTCCACTCCACAAAGTGACAGGCAGATTCCCATAAACCTTGGATAGAAATTCCATGTGACAGGCACCTTGGACAGTAGCCATAGAAGTATTTCTGTTCCAGACTAACATTTTATTTATGTATTTATGTATGCATGTATGTATTTATTTATTTATTGACAGAGTCTCTCTCTGTCCACCAGGCTAGAGTGCAGTGGCTTGATCTCAGCTCACTGCAACCTCTGCCTCCCGGGTTCAAGGAATTCTCCTGCCTCAGCCTCCCAAATAGCTGGGATTATAGTGCCTACTACCATGCTCAGCTAATTTGGTATTTTTAGTAGAGACAAGGTTTCATCATGTGGCCAGGCTGGTCTCGAACTCCTGACCTCAGGTGATCTACCCGCCTCGGCCTCCCAAAGTGCTGGAATTACAGGCACGAGCCACCGCGCCCGGCCCAGACTGACATTTTAATAACTACTCTTAGGCAAAATAGTAAAACGGCAAAGTCTCCCACTTTCTCTCTGGGAGCTGGCTGGCTTGGGAGCTGGCTGGAACCCAGTGTCTCCACTGTCCGTGTGACTTCGGGCAGGCCCCTTCCCCCTCAGGCAGCTGCAGGCAGGTGTTGGGCTAGACCTGTGGGATTCTGACCTGGGTTCCACAAAGCAAGCTCAAGGACTGTCCTGTGGATGAAGACGACCCGCAGCAAAGCAGGCAGGGCTCTGCCTCCTGGGGCAAAACATTTGCAAGTAATAATGCTGAAAAGAATGTACGAGTTCCCAGTCCCCTCTCCTTCCAGTCAGTGTCCAGCCCAGCCCTTTGAACTGGGTGGTAAGCTCACTCTGGAACCAGAGACAAAGCCTAAACAGCCACTGGAAGGTCTGGGACCCACATCAGCCCCCACATCCACCCTGCCTTCTCACCGAAGACATTTTTTGTGCTGCATGCCTGGTGCAAAACGTATTAATGACAGCTCTGCCTATCCCTGTAACTGGCTTCTTCTACCCAGGCATCTCCCTTCTCCTCTACTTCACCTAGCAGGCATCTTCACCAAAGTGTGCCAGCGCTAAAAGAAACATTTAAAATCAAAATTAGGTGAAGCACCACCACCGTTATGAGATTCTATAGAGTCTTATTGTTCACCCAGTTGAGATGCTCTGCTAAATTAGACATGGAAAATTGGAATTGATTCCTCGCATGTGGGGCTTAATTAAATGCTCTATTTTTTCTCCCTGGTAATGTCCCAGGAGACAGGTCTACATTGTTTTAGTCTAGCCTTGCCGAACCGCCTTTCCTTTGTGCTGATTGAATAGGGGGGAAGTGACAAGCAAGTTACCAGGCAGTTTCTTCACCCCCGTTAGCTGAAAGGCCCCTTATGTTACCCAGAAGCGCTTGTATTCTCTGAGGCCAGTGGGCACGACTGTAGCCAAAGGTGGACATCTTCCAGCCGAAGGCAAAGAGAAAACAGCCCTTCACGGCAAGCCATTTCGTGTTGTATTGTGGACGTGGTTGCCAGCGGTAACTGGGAAACTTTGACTCAGCATGTTCTAGCCAGACAGAGTTGAGCGCAAGTAGTGAGCTGGGGAAGGGTGAATTAATTCTTCAATGGCATGAGAGGGATGCAAGACTGTACTGGGGACCACTGACTCTATTTCGATGGCTTTAGGACTTTAGAATATGGTAAAACTGGAAGTCCCACTGGAAGACCGTCGATCCGAGCAGGGAGTTTCCACGAGGGACGCGTGCACCCCTGCGGATGACGTGCATTTCACAGTGCAAAGTGTCCAGTGATTCCATCGGATTCTCAAGGGAATCAATGACTTCTCCAGAAAGATAACAAATTCTTAAGTAAATCAACTCCCTCATTTTAAAATGGAGAGATTAAGCCCGGCACAGTGGCTCATGCCTGTAATTGCAACACTGTGTGAGGCCAAGGTGGACAGATCACTTGAGCCAAGGAGCACGAGACCAGCCTGGGCAACATGGCAAAACCAAGTCTCTACAAAAAATACAAACATTAGTGGGGTGTGGTGGCGCATGCCTGTAGTCCCAGCTACTCAGGAGGCTGAGGTGGGAGGATCACCTGAGCCTGGGAGGTCGAGGCTGCAGTGAGTTATGATGGCACCACTGCACTCCAGCCTGGGCGATGGAGTGAGACCCTGTCAAAAAAAAAAAAAAAAAAAAAAAAAAAAAGGAGCGATTAAGGCTCAGAGAGGGAGGGTCACCAACCCAAGGCCACACAGCCAGGTCATCTAGTTAGATCCAAGTATCCCAGTTTCCAGCAGATCACTCTGTCATGCTGCTGCTGTTGGGCTCATCTGAAACAGCATCCGAGCCCTCGAAGAAAAGATTCAAGATGAGATTGTAACAACACTTTGCCATGCTGTCCTGACCAGATGTCTCGGGGTGTCCCAGGTACTTTGTGTAACAAAGTTACACAGATCAGTTTCACCAGACTTTCGTTTTCTCATTTATCCCAGGGAGAGTTTAGATGAGAGGATTGAAGTCCTTCCCGGCTTGGACAGTCTGTGACTCTGGGAAGGAGAGCTCATTGCCACAGTCGATACCATGGAGAGGGGCAGATAAGAACCCAGAGAGAGACGAGAAAGAAAAACAGACTCTGTCCCTTGACGATCCACAAAATTGCCCCCTTGGCAAAAATCAGCAAGTAGTCCAAGTCTGAATGTAAGTTCACTGAGCTCTCTTTCCACCACCCGCCCACTGCATCAGGGCACCTCGCCCACCATGAGGCCTCATTCTGGAAGTGCCTGGCTATCTGGCTGCACACACTCAGCAGCCTGCCTTTCTCCAGCAGCATATTAAACTCCCTGCCTCCTCTTCCTCACAGTGACATGTTAATCCTGGGGATCACCTAATGAAAGATTACTCGTCACCAAGCAACTGATATTTTTAACATTTTACTTGGAAAATATGTCAAACCCACAAAAAAGTTGCAAGAACAAAAATAGTGCATAAAACACCTGAATGCCACTTTTTTTTTTTTTGCATTTTGTCCATCTGCTTTCTCCTTTGCTCCATCTATATTTTTGTCATATCTACATGGTATTGTTAATAATGGGTTTATTGAACCATTTGAAATTAAGTTCCCCACATCATGGCCCTCTGCTTTCTAGGTGCACCTTTATTTTTGATTAATTGATTGACTGACTTTTTTTTTTTGAGACAGGATCTTGCTCTGTTGCCCAGGCTGGAGTGCAGTGGCGCAATCATAACTCACTGCAGACTTGACCTCCTGGGCTCAAGCAATCCTTCTGCCTCAGCCTTCTGAGTAGCTGGGACCACAGGTATGCACCACCATGCCTGGCTGATTTTTTTTTATTTTTTGTAGAAATGGGGTCTCACTATGTTGCCCAGGCTGATCTCAAACAATCCTCCTGCCTCAACCTCCCAAAGTGTTGAGATTACAGGTGTGAGCCCACCATGACCAGCCTCGTTGTCACTTTAGAATGTGGTGACCAGAAGACTCAGCAGAAGACTCTCAGCCCAAGGAGTCTTAGCTGGGAGTTTCCACGAGGTTCCAGAGGTCTATGAACCTCTAGGGGTAGGTGCACTTTAAAATGTTAAGTGTTCAACAATTTCATCAGATTCTCAAAGGAATCCTTGACTCCTCTCCCTGCCCCTGCAAAAGGATAGGAAGCTCTAAAGTAAACCAGTTGCCTTATTTTAGGGTGGAAAGCCCAAGGAGACCCTAAATACATCAGCGTATAGATCCTTAGAATAAGGAGATTCTCACAGAACCACAGTGCATTTCTCAACTTCAGCACAATTAACTTCCATGCGCTACTTTAATCTACTGTCAGTTCCAATTTTGTCAGCTGACCTAATAATATCCTTTATAGCGTTTTTTCCTCCAGTACAGGGTCCAGCCTAGGATGGAATATACCAGATATTATATGCATGGATCCTATCTTTTTCGTCTCCTGTAATCTGGACCATTTCCCCAGCTTTTGACTTAGATGGCATTGAAATTGTGAGTCAAATATAGCACGTAAACAAGGCGCTCATTTTGTGTTCGTCCACTGTCTCCTGGTGCTTTGAGGCCATGCATTCCTGGCCAGGACATTACATAAGTGA